CTGCAGGAGCATGATCTATACCACATTAAGTTGTTTTAGTGCTTAGAGTGTCCATTTAACTAGATCTAACCTTGAATATTCAATTCACATAACTTTAATAGAGGTGGCAAAATACAGATCCCTAGCTACTGTTACTACAACACTTAAGATGCATACTCAGGCCTAATCTTGCCAATGTATTAAAAGTGGTGTGCACCAGAAGTGACAATGTCATTTTACATGAGTCTCGAATGTCTATGCCACCACTTGGCACTTCCTACCACCCATAACAGTTTTTATAATATTTTCTCTCCTACTTGTAACACCAAAGGTATTGACTGCATCTGCCACTGCCCTCTACCCTTGTCTTGTTGCATGTTGCCACCCTCTGCTTTGAAAGGAGCAATTATATTTTCATTGGCCAGTATGATTTTCAACATTACATGATTGAAGATATAGGTAGAGTAACACTGATATTTGGAACTGGCTTTATTCTGCATCCAGAAGATTATTGTAAGTATCAACTCAACTCCTTATGTCCTTGTTTTTCTACATTTTTGTTGTTGTTCCAGTGTTCACTTAATACAACTCTAACAAAGTACTTTTGTTTTATTTTCCCCAATGTGCATGTTTGCTTGGCCAGAGCAGGAGACCCGATAAAGAGCAAGCAATGACCAATTTTCTATTACACAGTAAAAAATTACTTTAGAATACAAAAAAAACGAAAAAGTAATATAGGAAAAATAATAGTAAAATGCATCAGTGAACGGGAAAATTGAGTAATATATCTAAATCTACTTTGCAATTAACCAGGCAGGCATTGAATTACATTTTCTGGTGTTTAACTTCCACTTTCCAGTAAGGCAATCCAGTTTTATATTGCTGTACAGGGGCTGAGAAGCATTAACAAATCTTGACTAAATTGTTAAAAGTAAATAAATCTGGTCTGCTGGAAAATTGGTAAAATAAAGTTCAAGATGGATTACCATGCTGAACACAAATTTTGCTAAAAAAAATAAGTCTTTTATCTGTTAACACCTGTAAGAGTTACTGATCAGATTGATGTAGAGGATGGTCACCCATCCAAGAATTTTATATAAACAAGTAAAGGATAAAGAGATTTATAAATTAATCTGAACTATGCTGCTGGTTGGGAATATTCAAGGAGGGCAGTAAACGTTTTCATGTTACTTGGGCACTTGGAAAAGCTATAATCTACTTTAATTCATATTTCCTTTGAATTATGGAGATGTTATAAAATTTAAATGGCAAGTCATAATTTAAAATAGAGGTGTACCACTAACATAAAAAAAGATATATAAAATGTAACCTAATGCATGTGAGTAATATGTTTTTTGGTTTTCATGCATCTTTTTTTTTTGTTTGTTCTCAAGACATCTGTCCAGGAATAATTGACTCCAGATGTGTTACCCGAGCACCGTTAAAAGATGCTGGCCCCAGTGACACTGTATGATGTATGGTAGCATTGAATGACACTGTAACTATCTTCATGTGCATGTGTAACAATTGTTTCAACCACCCGATAGGGCTACAAATTCCCAGCAACCACTGTTCTTAGTTCCCTTTTGTAAATTTGTCTCCGTTTTTTGTACTCCGACTGTGGTCTGTTAAAGAAACTCAATTGTCTGCTACCCACATCGACCCTTTACATTAGATAGATAGATAGATAAACAATCTTGCACTCAAGGACTTCAGGGCCATGTAATCCAGTAATATATGGCAAATATATGTAACAGTAGCACTAACCCTACCCCTAACCCTAATCCTACCCCCTAACCCTAACCTAATCTAACCCCAACTCCTAACCCTACCCCTAACCCTAGTAGGGTTAGGGTTAGGGGTAAGGGTAGGGTTAGGGTTAGGGAATTTCCAAAGTCCTGAAGTCCCAAAGTCCCGAACCGAGCCAAATTCTTTGCCCATCCACATCCATAATTCTGTCTGTTGCTCATGGCATGGGGGCTTTAATAAAATAAACAAAAATGTAAGGTAAAGGTAACCGAAGAACACTGGGACTTCTTCCCAAGCACTGACTGAACAGTGTGCAATGCTTACAAAGAAGTGGCTCAATCAGATAACTTGTAGGAGGGGTTACCTGACGTCAATATGACTGATTGTTGAACTCATTTCTGTCTTGGATACATCATCATTCTGGCTCTGCCACAACCACCTCTCTCTGACCTCTGACCCTGACCTGCCGACTAGTCTGCTAACACGGCAGCCACTATCTTGGAATGCAGGAATGACCAACATGAGTTCCCCGGCCGCAAATTGAGGATTAGAGGATGACCGCTGTGGACTGAGTACCATCAGTGACCATCAGTGATTGTGACAATAGTATGCAAAATTAAATAACAAAAACAAAACAGTAATTGAAGGACATAATTGCTAAATAAACTGCTACTATGTTTAATTGGTCAACAATTCAATTTATAAAAAATGTCTTCAGGACAAGTTCAGCAAACTAATTAACAAACACACATTCATTACCAGATTTACTCACTCAAATATTAAAAGTTGGTGCAAAGCCTATTCAAAGGAGAGACTGTGCCACTGGGAAGTAGGAAGTTAACACTTTCTATCATGGAAAAGTATTGTAATGGCAATGTAAACAAATCTCAAAAAAGAAACATTGAAATGCCCAAGAGCCAGACATAACACCTCATGGAAATGTCTTATACTTTGCTGCAAAAGATTAAATACAGACACAATTTTAACTATCAAACAGTCTCAGCAAAAACAGCAGTTTGCATTATGGACAATATTATTTCACAATATGTGGTAACTGGTTTAGAGAGAGCTAATACTTTGATAAAAAAAAAAA